AACAGGCTGACGTGACCTCGATTTAACATCTCATCTGAAGAACGGCACCTCCGACAATGCAATACTGCAAGCACTGCATTGGAGCATCAACCTAGAGTTGGGGCTTGAACCCACACCTTTCTGATTCAGAGGGCCAGGCACTACACTTCACAATGAAACCTTGCGACGAGCTTTGAGACGTCTCAATGACATGATAAGGCACAATGTCAAATGCAAGGATTATTATTATTATTGATTATCAACTGATTCTTTCACACCAAGATTCTGATTTGGATTTGGACAGGCGAGAAGAGGAGACAGACCCACTTATACACAATCTGTAGTTTTCATTCGAGGGGGGAAAAAATAACCCTTAAATATATCGCATGTTAACTGCAATTTTCACACACACTGTTTTAACGAAGCTTTTCATTCTATGAAATTCAGCCGATCCAAGTCGTTGCGTCATTGAACCACCGAGTGTTCCAAATCCCCTCCGAACGATACACAAGTTTGGTCGGATTCAAGTTATCTTCGTGTGTTAAAGAGCGTTCACGGATAGTTACGTCCATGGAATTACATTAATTTCATTGACAAAATACTGTCGTTCAAAACCACAGCAAGCAGCTATTTATTTTTCAAACCTACACACTCCCTCAAAATAAGAACATATGAATTGCTGGACCAAAGAAGACCAAGGTCTAACCAGTTCGCCTTCCACCATCCTCGTGGTTGCATGCACATGTCATCTCCTAAATTATATACTGGATCCCGAGATATTATTTCTAAGCAGAAAACTATCTAATGTGTTCTTGTAAGAATCAACACTTTCTGCTTCCACCGGCTCTCTAGGGAGCCTGTTCCATATGAAGCTAACTGTAAGTAGTATTTCTGCAGATTTGTTCTGAATTTACCTCCCTTCAATGTGAGATAAATACTACATATATATAGAATATATTATATATATACATACACATATATGACAGTGAGTCCATTGTGTAAATGGGAGCCATGATTCTGCAGGTAATAACTGAACAAGGACAGCACAAGGCTACGCTGGAGAATATTTCCCAACATTATGTTCATTTTGTAGAGCGGAATCGAACAAGTTAAATGCAGGACAAGCTGTGCAATGAAAGCAAATACACCACAAACGAACTGAACAAAAGAATACTCAGTCAATACTACCAATTTGATAGTCTTCTTTGGTCCTAATGCGAGTCATTAAGCTACTTAGGATGTAATGCTTTCTGGCCTGGAGCTCAATCCTAGTTTTAATGCCCACATATTGTTACTTTCAGTCCGAAACAAGTCAGGAATCTTGCACAAGATTATCGAGACCAACACGGAAAACAATAAAAACATGATCCTGCAGAGTGCTGGGCAAGAGCCAAGGCTTGGGGGATCGCCAAAATGTGCGCTGGGTTGGGTGCAATGATAGTGGGGGTGGGTGGGCGCGGGAGAAATGCGGTGTAAACTACTGGAGTTTAACCAACTAGCTTGCCCATTGAGCTTACAAGCTTCCCACTGCTTCTCTAGCTGGCACCACCTTACCCATTTTGGGGCTTTGGCTTGCAGGGTTAACGGGAGCCGAGTGAGAAGGTTTCCATCCACAAAGCGCACAAAGCTTAGGTGCCTCATGAGAGTACTACCTACGCCTGTTGGAAAAGTGAACCGCCAATCGACTAACAACCAGGTTCCTACTTACTGCTCGGTAAACAGAAGCGTGTGGAGTAAGGAAACTTGTCTAATGTAACTTCCTGCTCAGGAATCAAACCCAGGTCCGCTCGCCCTAGTGAAACCTAGTAAAGCAGTCTCTCTCTCGCCATCTCCCCACCCCCCAGAGGTTTAACTCTCACAATTATCCCCACAATAAAGACTAAAGCCAGACACAAAACAGCTGCTTTTCATACCGAACTTGTACACTAACTGTTTTTTATTGTCGGGGGTTTCAGTATCTTGGTACTCTCAGCATTCCATTCCAAAACTGTACTTTACACCTACGATTCTAAAATGATCAGAAAAAGAGAAGGGAATTTAGTTAAATTTTTTTACAGTACTCATTTTATTTGTATACAGAATCGCTACAGACAAAAGACACCATATTGCCAATGCATAAAGTTTGCTCCGTTTCCTTTTGCTGTTTTTTTTGCTTCTTTTTTTCTTTTAAAACATACCCAACAAATCATAAGACCAGTTTTACAACAATGAAATGAATTACATAACTAGAGAAAACTATATATATATATTTATATATATATATTTATAATATATATATTTATTTGTTGTTTTTTTGCAAATCATGTGCATTGCTATCGGATACAATATCTGAAACGCATTTTTTTTTCTCTCTAAAAGACGAAATGTAAATGAAAAAGGGTCAGTGCTCAGTACTTGACTGGGGATAGCATTCAAGAGTGTCAAGAGAGTTAGGACCATCTCAAAATAATGTGCGGAGGGAGGGGAAAAAAATTAATACTTTGGTTCCGTACACATTTCATGTTGTTAAAATATCTTTTTCTTAAAACAAGTCTTTTTGTTGCATGTTTGGTGTTATGATTCACCGCAAACCAATATAGTATAATAAAAATAATACTTGCATTTAATATAGAGCCTTATCACGTCGTCGAAACGTCTCAAAGCGCTTCACAGAATTTATTGTAAAGTATAGTGACTGCATATTTTGTAGGTCAATTGTCACAGTCGCAGATTGAGTGGCCAAATTAGTTATTTATTTTTTTGGAGGTATTATTAGCCCCGGAAAGCGATCCGCCAATCGACTAACAACCGATTAATATAATATGAATATTATTAATTATAACAATATTGACTTGCATGAATCATTCATAACTGTGTAGATTTCCACCCCCTCTTTATCCTCCCTCTCCTTCCCCGCCCAACCACCTACCCACCCCTCACTAATCTTGAGGGCGTGTTTAGTTTAGAGCCGGGGGAACAAACTGTGTGCACTGTGTGTGTTTTTTTTTCAAAAAATATAATAAAATCTATAGACAGATGCAAACGAGTCTCAATTCCAAATACATTCCATAACGTAGGAAAACATAGCGCTACATTTTTTTGTACCACTTTCATACACGGCGACAATAAAAACAAGGAGAGAAGTCATCAGGGGGTTAACCTTTCCAGACCTTGGCTTTTGCCAGAACCCAGTTCCAGCGGTCAGCCTGGCAAAGCCGCTTTGCAATGCCTTTGAGCCCGTGAACCGTGTAAAGGTGACTGACACCAGATATTTGCAATCCCTGTGCATTTCACCAGAGCGATTTTCCTGCATTGCAAAAAGACACAAACCAAAGACTTGCCCCAGAAAGAGGGGGGATGGGGGAGGAAAATTAAAAGGACCGAGTGACAGCAAACCACTCACCAACCACACACAAGTTGTATCTGGGTTTAAACTGTTTTTGTTTTCAGTTGAATTTATATATTTTTTTTAAAAAAGTGCTGGCTCAGTGGGCGGGTGTGATTTTTTTAAATTTTATTTTCCTTTTTTGAATGTACTTTTTAAGGTGTGAATAGGAATGGGAATCTGCCACTGGGGTCGGAGGTGGGGGGAAGAGAGAGAAGGTGGAGTGGGGGGGTGGGGGGGGGGGGGAGAGAGAGAGAGAGGGGGAAGAGAGAGAGAGAGAGGGAATGAGGAGGGGAAGAGAGGGAAAAGAGAGATGAGAGCAGGGTCCTTGCTAATGTGCAGTTTAGTGTCTTCCATTGGCCATGTGCAGTTTGTGCATCAAAGGACTTAAAAGTAGTGTCTTTCCAGGTCCCAAAATAAGGGGCTGTTTGACTTTACTTCATAAGACGTGTCAGACAGGGGTATCATTCTCTGCTGTTTCACTGAACAAATCACAACTTACCTGGTCGTTTAAAATGACTTGTTTCACTGAAAATATATATATATACATATATAATATTATTTATATATATATATAATAAAGATGTTCCAAATTCTATTTAAATGAAAAACACCTTAGATTCTACCTCACATTTATGTCGCGTATCTATCCCATTGCTAAAATGACTTGCAAACAAACAGAGATCACAAGGGTTTTGTAGAAGGTTTTTTTTTCCCAGGAAATAAAAAATAACAAAGCACGTTTTATAATCCATGATGTTTCAGCTCAGAGGCAGGACACTGATTTCCTTTTTCAGCCCATTAAACAATGGTGTTTAAGTGTATGTTATACAAACGGGAAGAAAAGAGAAACTCTCTAAACAGGATTTCCAGCTTGTCGATCAATCCTGCTCACTGTTGGGAAGGTGGGAGAGAGCGAGGGAGGGAGAGAGGGCGAGGAAGAGGAGAACGAGAAAGGGAGAGTGAGATGGGGAGAGGGAGAAAGGGCAGACAGAAGGAAAGAGCAAGAGAGAGGCCGAGGAAGCGAGAGAGAAAGGAAAGAGGGAGAGAGGGAAGGGAGCAAGGAGAGAGAGAGAGAGAGAGCGCAGGCAGAAAGAGGAAAGAGGAAAGAGAGGGAGTGTGGGCAGGGAGGGAGAGAGAGAGAGAAAGGGGGAGCGAGAGAGAGTGACAGAGCGCGAGAGAGAGAGAGGGAGGAGGACAAGGAAGGAGAGAAGGAGTGAGAGAGGAATGGGAGGGAGAGGGAGGGAGAATGAGACAGAGACAGAGAGAGAAGGGCAGGGATACAGGAGTACTATATGCAAGGTTGTGAGCTGCAAAAATTGAAACCTGACACACCAAAAAAAGTAAAAACGCTAAGTTTTTCTACACGAAAAAAAACAGCCAAGAAACAGCCAAATCATTGTTACAAAATGCACCATGCAATACGTGTAAACCCGGTGATTTGACAGACACCAAAGCAGCAAGTCTTTGGAACCACCCGACAGAAGTGTTACAGTTTCTTCAGCCATTCACAAAATAATCAATGTGCACAATCCAAAAAAAAATTAAAAAATAACTCTAGTGCTTACTTACGTGTCCGAGTTTATAACGTCTAGAGCTTTAGAATTTGTACAACTATCAGTCGGATGACATTGGGTGGTGGGGGGGGGGTGGGGGGTGCGTGTGTGTGGGGGGGAAATATGCATCTCGATGCAGAAAGGAGGGAGGAAAAAGAAAAAAAAAACAGGCTGGGATAAACGCGTGTTATTTTAACCTTTGTGCTATGCCTAAAAACAGTGTCGTCAGTCAACTAGTCTCAAAAGATATCTGTAAAATCAACTTGCTAAACATTCCTATAGCACCTTCCAACGCACTAAAAACAGACATCAACATTTAAACACAAAATAAATCTGATTGTCCATACTCTTTCCCATTTCATCTCGGCACTGCATTTTACAGATTTGTTGCAATAGCACTGACATCGTACAATGACTAGAGAAATATTCATTCTTACAACATAAGGTTCACCTCCATAAAAATTGGAATGAAGAGTTGCAGAAAGAGAGTTTTGGTTCTAAGAAAAAAAAGATAACACACACAGGGTGTCGTCTGTGTATATTTCGGCTGACAATGTTTGCCTGAGACAATACAAGCAAGCAGACACATTGCACTTTGTAATGACACAACTCTGAGCACCGCGCTCACGTCTACTGGAACCATCGAAACGCCGCTCCGGATGGAAGAATCACTTTCTGCAACCAGAGGGGACAAAAAACAGAAGAGAAGAGACTTATTGTTCAGCAGGAAAGACATACACACTCTCAAACACGCACACATACTGACGCATTGAGCGTGCCCCCATTCCATTATCAGCAAGCGAGCTTTCGGCCACTATGCTCCGAATCGCCCGCAATCCCTCCACTTTGCCCCCACCTTCCCCATCTTCAGGTCTCACCCGAAGACCTTCCCCTTCGACGGTGCTTACGGTCACCTCTCTCCTCCCTGCCCAGCAGCTCGGAATCATGCTCCGCCACTGTCGAGCGCTCTAGGACGCTACCCTGCGTGAGGGACGCTATATAAATGCAAGTTGTTGTTGTCGACACAAGTTGACACCCGGACACTGAGAAAATCCCACACACGTCCAGATTCACTGGGTTTGTGTTGGTATTTTACAGTGTCCAGAATTCGGAAATGTTTTAAAATGGCGAATTAATTTTTGAACCCAGCTATTTTTAAAAAAAAACAAATTGTTGTCATTGTTATTGAAGAACCATCCCGAAAAAGAAGAACGTTAAGGCTGAATTAAACTATTTGCCAGACGGTCTTGGAAGCTCTGATAATGCTGTAGAAACAGGGAACGGGCAAGGAGTGATCGAGGCTGGAACTCAGCGAAGAAACAGCTTAGATGTTGTGATGGGAGGAAGGTCGGACAGAGGAAGATTCTATCGACTTGTGTTGTTGAGACGTCTCAAAGCACTTCACAGAATATACTGTAAAATGGATTGAGACGTCTGTGCATTACGTGGACGAAACACACAAGGATGAGATCACAAGGGCCAAAGGGTGGTTTGCACCCACAAACCGACCTTGCGATCACCTTGCTTTGCTTCTGCCAGGAGAATACCAACACCTCTGCCTTACAGTGGGGGTCAAGCGAATCACACTCTGTTGACGCAAGTTTATTTCGAATCCTGCACCCACGTACTCCTCACACCGCTGTCTCCCTGTCCACTGAAGCCTCCTCCTCTCCAGTGTTAGAGAGACAAAACCTAACAGAAACCAGCCAGGTGGAAAATCAAGAAGGCAGAGAGATCGATCAATACTGTACAACCAAATGTTCTCCATCAGTGAGCCGTCAGTCGTTCTCTCACTCTCCCCTCCCAACCCCCTACATCCAACACACGCACCCCCCTCCCCCGCTACTCCTCACACCCCTTTCCGTAACATAAGTACTTAAGTTTAGTAGCAAAATCAATTTCCTGCCAGTAATGGGACTATTAATGAAAGCAAGAGAACCGGTGTCTGAGGGAAACACTTCTATATTGTCTCTGTGGATTTCTTCCCACTCGCTCTCCGCTCCTTACAGAGGTCTAACACAGTCAGCAGTGAAATTCCACCCTCCCTCCCTTGCCACACAAACAACAACAAGCACTTAAATAGCGCCCTCCACACAGGGCAGCGTCTCAGAGCGCTCAACAGTGGTGGAGCCCTGACTCTGAGCCGGGGGGAAGGGGCGAAGTGGCCGTAAGCACGGTCGACGAGGAAGGTTTTCAGGCGGGACTTGAAAAAGGGGAGAGAGGGGGCAAGGTGGAGGGATTGAGGGAGAGTGTTCCAGGGTTTCGGGGTGTAGTGGCTGAAAGCGGAGGGACGAGCAGGAGGCCGGTGCCAGTCCAGCGGAGGCGCCTGGTGGTGGATTGGGGAGTGAGGAGGTCGGAGAGGTCGGGAGGTGCCAGGGAGTGAAGGGATTTGGAACACGAGAGTGAGGATCTTGAAGCCAATCCGTTCAGTGATGGGGAGCCAGTGGAGCCCGGGCCAGAACTGGTGAGATGTTGGTACGGACTTTGGTCGAGGTCAGTATGCGGGCGGCAGAGTTCTGAAGGAGCTGGATCTTGTGAATAGTGGAGCTGGGGAGACCGTCGAGGAGTGTGTTTGGGTAATCCAAGAGAGCGAGAGCAGGGTTCTCTCTCCCCCGACCGCAACCCCAAAAACATCTTGCTTTTTCCTGTTTTGTCACCACCGGAACGTAGGAGGCCATTCAGCCCATCAAGCCTGTTTCGCCTCGTTATCGGTGGGAATTTTTTTTCATCCCAACGCCCCTGCCCTTTTCCCACATTCCTACTTCCAAAATATCCGTCCCTCCGACTCCTTTTAAACACCCCACACCGATTCTGCCCACAAAGGTTTAAGCAGCAAGACTTTCAGAAGCGGAGAATTGGGAGTGAGAGGAGGAGGAGAGGGAGAAATCAGCTTCCCTATCGAGACTGAATTTAGGATTTTTTCCCCAATAAATTTCTGTGCACGCGTCTGGCAATTTTAAGACCAAACAGCCTCACGGGTTCAGACTAAGTGCCAGCGAATGTCTGTGGGATGTCATTAATGTATTTGACTGGGACAACAGTGCAGTGAGGCGTAACACTACACTCACCTGATTCCCTCAGCCCAGCCAGAGATCTAGAGGACAGTCACAGTCTCCCTCCTCACCATTGCCAAGTTAACGATTAAATCAGAGCTCACTGCCATGTCACACAACGCACAGACACCATGAGCTATCCCTACACTCAATCACACATCGGGTGGGGGGGGGGGGTTGAGCTCACAGTCTAAAGGCTGTCGCTCCAGTACTGTGCTGGGGGTGGGGGGTGGGGTGCGAGTGTTGCATTGTCGGAGGCGCCATCCTTCGGATGAGATGTCTGTGCCCTGTTCACCTTAAAGACCTTGTGACACTACTCAAAAAGAGATGGGAAGTTTCTCTCTCCCGGGTCTGGACGACAATCTCCTGGGATTAGTGCGTCATTCAGCTCAGGGCCGTTTGCGGGGGCCACTGCTGTGCGCTATCCAGCTACCGGGTTCACCTACAAAATACACAGTCACTACACTTAAACTAAAAACAAAAACCCTTTAAAACGTGTCAAGATATTTCGCCTGTAATCTTTAAGGTTGTAGGAGCTGCGCCAACCGCGAAGATGATTATCACTGTTTTACTCTGGTCTTGTACAGCGAGCTCAGAGTTTCAGTATTCGGGTGTCACGTGGATTGCTCAGTCTAATAATAATAATAATAATAATCCTTGCATTTGATATAGCGCTTTTCGCGTCGGGAGGACGTCCCAAAGCGCTTCACAGAACACACTGTAAAGTGAATTGACTGTATATTTGTGGGCGATGAGCTTCGTCCATTAAAAATAAGTATTCAAAGAGTCTCAGTGCAGATCAACGGGCAAAAGAGTTCAGTCCGCAGACAGACTGCTCAGGTGGTTGATGGCTGATATCTGGATACTTGCCTGTGAACTCCGTGTACGTATTTATTGGGCTGTTTGCTTCCTCCTTGGCACAAGTGAATTCTCTCTCCCTCGCTCTCACCCCATCCCACCCACCCACATCCACCCACTGTGTCCAGATTACCAGGATTGTGGGAGCAGCCTCTCTGTAAATATTGACTGCAGCGTTAGGTTGTTATAATAATAATAAACACCTCGCATTTGATCCAGCACCTTATCACGTCGTCAAAACGTCTCAAATGGCTTCACAGGATTTCGCATAAGTGTAGTGAGTGTGTATTTGTTGGCATCAATTTATGCACAGCAGCATCCCGCTGCTTGTCCAGCTCGGACCAACCTACTCGCCAGGCCTTTGGCTTGCAGGGTTAACAGAAGGTGAGTGGGAAGAATCCCTGCCCACCCCAGTAACTGCTCTGCCCTTCCAAGTCCTGCCGATGAGCCAGTCTGGCTGGGCTGGGCTGTCATCAGCAGGGCTCTGGAGTACTGCAGACCTGCTCAGCTCAGGAACAGGACAATTTATTCCAATGCTCAGATACTTTGCCCACTGACCACCGCCTGACCGGACATTTAAAGCCTGAATAGTTATTCAATGAGCTCGATCCAACGCGATAGAGACTGTAGGTACAGTATAACTAATACATTCGCGCCTTGGCAGCTTTACTCTAAATAGAACCATCGTCACTCTGAGCCACTCAATCTGAGACCTTCACCCTCTATTGAAGGGGCAATGCTACATTTTTTGACACTTTTTTTTAAAAAGCCAATTTAAGAACCGGTGGAAAATGTACGTCAAACCTTCCCCTCCCCCGACCCCCCCCACCACCGGCTTTGCCACCCGCAAAGGACAAAATAACAACCCTTGCATTCGACACAGCGCCTTATCAAGCCATCATAACATCTCGTAGGATTTACTGTGAAGTGCGACTGTATATGCTTTAAGGCCAACACAGCAGCCAAATTGCACCCAGCTTCATCCCCGCAATCAGTCGTGAAGTGAATGAGTGATTTTCTCTTGGGGTGGGATGGGGGGGTGGATGATTGGCTGCCGCATTTCGCCCACAAAATGCACGGTCAATCCACTTTACAGTATATTCTGTGAAACACTTTGAGATATCTCACTGAAGTGATAAGGCGCTATATCAAATGCAAGGATTATTATTAATTAGGAATGTAGTTCAGTGTTCCCCATGTTACTTATTCGGTCATCAGTAAACCGAAGAATGTGGCGATGGGAGCGTGTTCTCTGGTCCCTGATGGTCCAGACACTTACAGCCTTGACCTTGGTGTGAGTTACATTAGGAATGTCCTTTGTAAGGTCAGCTTCACCCGACTGCCACACCACACAATCATCAGTCACCGATGACAAAATGGAATGTCTTACGCACTCTCTCCCTCCCATCTCCTCCCCGCAGGTTTAAAACGGCTGATCGCAAATGCATGTACATCGCCATAACAATGCTCGCATTTGATTTAGAGCCTTAGTTGAGACGTCTCAAAGCACTTCACAGAATATACTGTTAAGTGAATTGACTGTGTATTTTGTAGGCGAAACACGGCAGTCAATTGCGCACAGCAGCGTTCCACAAACAGGCGTGGATTGAGTAACCAATCGACAAACGACCAGGTTCCTACTTACTGCTAGGTAAACAGAGGCATGTGGTGTAAGGAAACTAAATTTTCACCCTGATCAGGAATTGAACCCGGGTCCTCTCACTTGCGAGGCAATCGCTCTAACTCTAGATGACTCCAAGCCAACAACGATGACGAAATACATTTATAGATCATCTGTTATGAAGTCTGAGCGTTCCACAGTGGTAGGGTTGGGAGCAAAGGAGAACGGGGAGCGTAGAGGTAACCAGAGGTGCGGTGGAAGAAGTAGGTCTTGCAAAGTGAAATTTAAAGACAGACAGAGGAGGGGGGTGTGAGGCAGAGGGATTGAGGCAGGAAGATTAAGGGTGCAGTGACCTCTGTTAAAAATACATGAGAATCAGAGGACAGTTCTCATCACAGGATTATAATCCAACAGAGTTTTACTGCCACAAAACACATGGTGGCACATTGGTGCTCTGACAAGTTATCTTCCATTGTTGTAGTTGCTCTCGCGCTGCTGGAATCGAAATGAGGACGGATAATTAAAAAAGAGCGTCAAAACTCAAAGGTAGAGACAACAACAACAACTTGGATTTATATAGCGCCCTCCACGCCGGATGGCGTCTCAGAGCGCTTTACAGTAACGGATCCCGGGGGAGGGGAGGAAGGTGACCAAAGGTGCGGTCGAAAAGAAAGGGCTTCAGCAGAGACCTGAAAATGGGACAGACCGTTGGGGGTGGGGGTGAATAAAAGGACAGAAACCTGAACAACAAAACACAATGGTGGCCACGGAATCAGGTAGCGAATGTGGAAGGAAGCAGTTGTTAAGCCCAGCTTGTGTTGTTATTGAAAATACACGTTCTTGTATATGCAATAACTTTTCTCGCAGCAAAATTCGGTTTCTCAACACCCGCCTGGCTTCCAGCCAGCGATCCAGTCACAGGGATTTCACCTTTCTGTTATCAAACATTACAAACACAACACCTGGCTCCGTCCCAAATTAAGCTGCAGCTCCCAGCCTGTCTTAAAGAGTAAAGAAATCTGCAAAATCCAGCAGCGGGGGCCTGATTATTTTTTTTGAAATAAATCGCAAACCAAAAACAAAAAATAACTGAAGAGGAAAAGCTGAGTGAGTGGCGCAGTTAATATCCATCAGACTTGCTCCATGGGAAAAAATAGCAGCACCCTCACGTCTCGCCTTTTAATGAATTGGCTTTTAAAACAAACGTGCAAAATAGTTTTTTTCCCCCCACCCTGTGTCTCTCTCTCTCTCTCTCTCTACGCTACAGTGGGTCAATACTTCTGACGGTTTCAGAGCAAAATTCCTCTAGTTTTATGCTTGTACGGCACTTTTAAACAGTAATTTGGTCACTCAATCCACACTGTTTGTGGGATACTGCTGTGCGCAATTGGCTGCCGTGTTTCACCCTCAAAATATACAGACGCTCCAAATTACAGTGTATTTTGTGAAGTGCTTTGAAACGTCTCCGCGCCACAATGAGGCGCTTACATCAAATGCAAGGATTATTTTTTTTCCCCTCGGTCTCGAAAGCATTTCTGCGAGACAGAGGAGAATCGGGGAAAAGGACTTTCCGATTTCATTCAGATGCTTTTTCTTTAAAGAGCTGTGGAAAACCGAATTCCACGTTAAGGCATTTCACGTTTGACTGTCTAACAAAACGCTCTGTTGCTTCACTTTGCAGTAAAATCCTGCGAATCGCTTTGAGACGTCCTCCTGACGTGAAATGCGCTGTGTCGAACGCAAGAGGGCTCAAGAACAGGTGGAATTTTAAGGTTGGAGTACAGCGTGCGTGATCCTGCGATGGCACCTCTCACTGGAGCGCGAGTCCGCTTAAAAACACACATGTCCTGTGGGCACGTGACACACACACGCAGCGCTCAGAGGGGCTGGGTCAGTGCGGGCGACATCTTGAGCCACCTGACCACCCCCGCCCACACACGTGTGTTATCATCAGTCACCCTGCTCCCGAACGTTTTACTCTTTAATTATTATTATTGTTAGATCACTCTAACACTATTTGGGGAACTGAACCTGTGCCAATCAGAGAATCACAGAATATTACAGCACAGAAGGAGGCCGTTCGGCCCATCTCGCCTGTGCCAGCCTTTTGAAAGAGCGACCAACTAGCCCCACTGCCCCGCTCTCACCCCGTAGCCCTGCACATTTTTCCTTTTCAGGTAGCTATCCAATTCCCTTTTGAAAGTTACTTTCAAATCTGCTTCCACCACCCTTTCAGGCAGTGCCCTATAATAATAAAATTACGTGCACTTCAAGGCACTAAAACAACAGAGCGATCTTATAAATCAAACCAGGGATCTTATCAATCACTCATGCTTGGCTTGACGGCATCACCAATACCACGAAACCCCCCCACCCCTACCACCCCGATCTCCCGCTTAAGCAGGGCAAGCACATGCTCGAATGATCTATTATGTGCCACGTGTTAAATAGCGCATCTACACCTGTGCCCTTGATTAAATAAGCCGCTGAGAAACACTAGCCCGTTGCCTCACTAAAGAATAATTCCTGTCTGCACACACAATTGCACAAGGATTACACGTAGCGCATTATAAGAAACGTTGGCTGTGGTGGGGAGTAGCAAATAATAATTTACAAAATAATAATTATAGTACAAATAATTTCTCTATTCTAATTTTCAAGACTGAGGTGGATAGAGTTTTGTTAGGTCACGGTATCAGGGGATATGGGGCAAAGGCAGGTAATTGGAGTTGAGGTACAGATCAGCCATGACCAACGATGGAACAGGCTCGAGGGGCTGAATGGCCTCCTCCTGTTCCTATGTTACTATGTGTTCTGTGTAACAATGGATGCATTTCAAACATATGGGGGGAGAGCAAGGGGAGGGGGAGATAGAGGGAATGGACAGACACAGTCAGACAAACAGAGCTCTGACTATCTTTAAGCTTTAATGAAAAGGTTCCACCACACTGAAAGACATCAATTCGACCCCCCCCTAAAGAAGCCCCTCCCTCCTTCCCTTCCCCAAAAAGGTGAACTTCCCCTCACCCAGTAACAGCGAGTGTGTTTCAAACGTAGCGGGGGTGGCGGGGTGGGGGGAGAGGTGGAGAGAATGGATAGACAGAGCTACGACTATGTTTAAACTTTTACGGAAAGTTTCTACCTTGTTGAAAGACGTCAATTTGAATGAAAAAAAAGGCAAGCCCCTTCCTCCCCCACCCCCCCAAAAAAAGGTGGTGTAACAGGGGGATAAACCTCATCACTGCTTTTTATGGTGATTGGCGATCAACCTATGTGTAAAGGGAGCTAACAAGGACTGGACTCGGGTGATAATTGGGCACCGGCCCCAAGTTATAATTAATAATAATCCTTGCATTTGATATAGCGCCTAATCACATCTTCGAGACGTCTCAAAGCGCTTCCCAGAATATACTGTACAGCGAAACGCAGCAGCCCATTGCACACAGAGGCGTCCCACAAATAGTCATGGATTGAGTGGCCAAATTATTATTTATTTCTTATTTTTCAAAGGGTTTATTACCCCTGGAAAAACGATTCGCCAATCGACCGACAACCGGTTCCTGCTTACTGCTGGGTAAACAAGAGGCGTGCGGAGTTAGGAAACTTGCCCAACATTTCGCCATACCTGGGAATTGAACCCGGGTCCTCTCGCTTGTGAGGCGAGCGCTCTAACCGCTGAGCTACGAGTCGCTGCAATGAATTAAGGGCAGGGATGAAGCTGCGGGGGCGGGTGGGGGGGTGGGGGCTTGGAAGTGTGAGCGGGGAGTCTGGAGTAGACGGATGCAAGGAGGCGATTTACGCCCTCCCAGGGTGGGCTTCCCCTCGTCTCCCCCTCTTACCTCCAGGGCCGCCGTCGGTTTCTTTTTAAGTTCTTCGCATTTGCGCAGTTTGCAGATTTGATGGCCTGTTTTGCGGTTCCGGCAGCTGCTGCACTCCTCGCAGTTGAGTCTCCTCCGGCAGGGCTCGCACATCCCGCACCGCTTCCGTTTCTTTTTTCCCGAGTGAATGGCCGAGGCCAGCTCGTTCTGCAGCGGGTACTCCACCAGCCCCGCCATCTGGAGCGCGCTGTCCGCCATGAATATCCCGGCCGGGGTCATGATAAAAACGCCGGGATTCAAGGGAATCCCGCCCATGAAGGGCAGGTCGACGGGACCGCCGCTGATGGCCTCGGCTGCCGAGACCACCTCCATGTCGGAGATGCCGGCCTCCCGCTCTCCCGGGAGGAAAACACTCTCGGTTTCGCTTTGTTTCTGGAGCTCCGAGGCCTGCATGCCCCCTTCCTGCCCCGAGCTGTCGAGCGAGCGTTCCGATTTGTCCAGCGGGTGGGAGAGGCGCTTGTGTCTGGAGGTAGTCGTGCTGCTGTTGTTTTCAAGACCCGCGGGCTCTTTCCCGTTCAGCAAGATATTCCCGTTCTGTAACTGCGCCGCCATTAGGCTGCTCCCGCCAAACGTGGAGAAGCGCGAGGACGAGCGAGATTTCTTTAGCACTTTGCTGATGGGCTCATTAATGATCCCACTCCTGTTCCTTTTCTCCAACTCCACACGGAGTTCACCGTCCTGACGACCCTCTCCCCTCTCCCCGGGGTCCGCCGCTGCTGTCTGCCTGATCTGCTGTTCAATGAGTTTCCTGGCACTCGACATGGTTCAAAAGGTTTTGTTAACGCTGGAGAAATCGGAACAAATAGAATTCCGTGCGGACGGAGTGCGATCGCTCCCTTCTCAGCGTTGGGTCCGAGGAAACGCGGCCGATCTTGAGCGTTGGGACGGCGGGTCCCGAAGTCTCCAGCGTACCTTCCCGGAAGCGTCACGTTATTCCTCTGGCCGTGATCTTCCCCCCCGGGCGCCGACCGGCAGGCTCTCTGAGCAAAGGAAACGCGCAAAGGGTTTAACGTCTCGGTCCGTTTCACGACCGCAAACTGTTTTGTTTTGTGTGTGTGCGTTAATGGCGGCTCGATTAGCTTTTCCGGGGTGTCGGCGAAAGGCAAAATAAAGCCAAAGTAAATGCGCCGGCGAGGGGGGCGGGTGCAGAATGCCTGTCGCTCCGTCCTGGGCCGTCTCGCCAGTCGGGCCTTTCAACTTCTCTGCCCCCAACCTTTGGAACTCCATCCCACAGTCCCTTCTCCTCGCTCCCTCCCTTGCCTCCTTCAAGGCACGTCTCAAGACCCTCCTCTAAGACCGTGCCTTCGGTCTACTCACTCTCCTAGCCCCACCCTCCCTGCCCTTCACACTTCCTGATCCGAATCCCCTGCTTGGGTGCAAATCCTTGACTGTCCAGCGCCTTGGGATGTCCTCTCGACATGAAAGGCGCTGTGCAAACGTCTCACAAAATATCTCAGGATTCCTGACTCAAAGGTGTAATTTCCTTATCCCAAGGCGGCTCATTTTAAACCCCTTGGCCTCACTTACTCCCTCTCCTTCAAGCAATCACCCCCTTCCCCCATCTCTTGTTTGCGCCTTCAGTCAACTTACCCCCCACCCACCCCCCAACACCCGCTCGCCCCCTCCTCTCTGAATGAAATCTGTCCTCCCGTTTGTCTCTCGTCCCCTCCCCTATCGGCAACCATGCTTTCAGCCACTACGCCCTGAAGCTTTGGAACTCTCTCCCCCAATCCCTCAGCCTTGCCCCCATTTTTAGAACCAAGTCTGAAGACCTTCCTCTTTGACCGTGCTTACGTTCACCTCCTCCCTCCCACCTTCTCCCTCCGGGTCAGCTGTTAAGCACTCGGAAACACAGCCCCGCGTGAAGAGCGCTGTGTAAGTGCAAGTTGTTGTTGATTTCCTCTACATCGCTGTTAAGGGTCTCAAGACAATGTCCTACATGTTAGGAGTTGCATTAGTGCACCCAGTTCCTTACAAGCGCAGAGAGCTCCTAGGGAATGTAACGCAATGCTCCCTGGGTGAGTGAACAGGCTGCTAAGTGCAATGAAGTCTGCTGCTCTCAATTCAGCTGCTATTATAACAGTATGAGACCACCCTCCAATCCTGCCTGCTCCGCGCTAGCTCAGCACTCTCGCTCAGAGAGGTTAGAGGTAACAAGCAGAGGAGACTGCAGTGTAATAGAGATGCTCTTTGGTAATCAGCACCACAGAGGCAAGGCAGCACGAGAGTGGATATGCATTCAATTTGTCCGGGGCAATTATTGTCTTAGAGGACGTAGAAACACGGACCCACACGCACGCACACACGCACACACACACACAGTCTCCCACTGTCACACACACACATTCGAACACAAACACACACAATCTCACACTGTCACACACGTAGAACTCACACACACAGTCTCAAACACGCGCATACAAACGCACACACTGTCACACACGTAGCTCCTACATACAGTTTCACAACATGTGTGCACGCACACGTACACACACACACACACACACAGTCTCACACAACCAATAGAGGGTGCTGTAGAGGGACTAGGAGCAGTAACCCTACCGTTTTCCGCCTCCTTTACCTTGGGGAGCTCTTCCCACAGTTCTCCACGACCTTACATTTCAAGATAAAAATCGATCTTGCAGGCTAAACCAAGTGGAATTTGGGGGGGCATTGCTTTAAGGTACGTCTGCTATAATGGCCAAAAGCTAAATGAAAGCTAACAATTAGATCGACTAAAACCATCTCCTGATCACTGGGCTGGTAAAGCCTCTGTGTGGATGTAAAACTGAGCCATAGAGACCTGGAAAGGTGTGAGATTGAAGAGCTTCTCTGTGCTGAGTTAGTTGAGCTCAGGCAGTGTCTGTCAGGCAAGACAGATGCTATAATTGGTCTCAACGCCCCTAGGCTAGGGAGGGGGAAACTCAGACACAGTCCTTGCTCTCTCTCGATCACTGTCTGGGCTCCCCTCAAGCCTAGGCTCTTGCCAACCTGCACCTATTATACTTTCCAGAATTAGGTGAACAGGATGCATCTTTCTGGGACAGAGAGTGCGCATTCTATTCCACTCCAACAATCTATCTCTGGGATTTCTATGTGCAGGTGGGGATGCATTGAATTCTCAGTTTGGTTTGGATACTCTTAAGCACGGTGATGGGTTTCAGCATGTGTCAGACACCCGACTGACCCCCCCCAAACTCACAGGAGGGCTGACAATGTGATCGTGAATCTCCGATTGTGTGCCACCACAGGGTGTCAAACCAGGTAGACACAGAGCGGGAGAGAACACACTCTTCCCTCCCTTGAGGTCCATCGCTATTTACTGAACAACTAGAGAGTCACAAACTACACCAGCTTCTCCTCTCCCTCCCCAAACACCCACCAATAATAATCAAATACACAGTCATTTCATTGTACAGTATGAAAGGGGCTCCTGACATGAAATGCACTATACCAAATGCAGAGATTATTATTGTTATGATTATAATATTGCCAGCTTCTACTTTTGCTCCTCCAAAATTAATTTTGTCCGGAATAATAAAAGCTTACATTTATACAGTGCTTTCTACATCAGGTGGACACTCCAAAGTGCTTAACACTGCTGGCTGGGCACGCAAGCTGGGGGTGGGAGACGAGGGGAGGTGGTGGGGGGGGTGAAGGGGGAAGGTAACAAAGTGCAGTCAAAGAGGACGTTCTCAAGATGAACCATGAACGAGGGGAGGGAGCAAGCGAGGCAGCGGGCGACTCCAGGTTAGAGTTCTAAAGAGTGGGGGCAAATAAGCTGGTGGTGGGGCAGGCAGTGTGGGGGGGGGGGGGGACACAAAGCAGTGGCTGGATTGATATTGTTTGCGGAGATCGCAGAGTGTGGTCGGGAGAACTCACTATCTGGCAAGCTTTCTCGGTAGCTCGGACCACGCACCACGGGCTGTGGCTTGCAAGGTTAACAGGAGCTGAGTGGGATGATTCCCTGCCCCCAAGTGACTGGTCTATCCTTCCGAGTCCCGCCAATGAGCCAGGCTGTGCTGTCATTAACAGTGCGCTGGAATACTGTGGACTCTCCTGGCTCAGGAACGTGGACTGGAGACCAACACAAAGGGCTGGCTCGATTCCGACATTACGCTGCCAGACATGTCACGATGGAGCCAGTTCAGCTCCAAGGAGACCCCGCTTACCTGCTCCCCCCGAGGAGGATAGAAGGGAGAAGGCGGAAAGGGATTTGAAGGGAAAATAGATCTTTTCAATGAAAAGCAAAACCGGAAGGAAGAGACACAACAGGGTATTAACTGTGTTTGCAAATGTGCCGTCAGCAGCAAACAAGAAAAAAAATATAACAACAAGGACATCGTAACAAACTTTGAATCACGAGTAGTCCCAGGTAGGCTGGCACTTCGGGGTTAAAAATTGGGGAAGGGGAGGGAGGGGACTGGAGAACCTTTGCAGCAACGTGCAGAGGAGAGTGGATCTCAACTCAAATAAAGTCGACGCAAAGAAAAAAACAAACAAAAAAAGGGCAGCTTCCTCTTCTCCCTTAGCATTTTTTTTCCCCCAATTCAAGAGAACTGCCCACAAGCCAGAGAGAGAGAGAGAGAGAGAGAGTCAGGGAGGGAGTGGTGAGGTGGGGTGAGGTGGGGTGGGGTGGAGAGAGTATTCTGTGAGGATCAGATCAAATGGACCAAAGGTGCGTTCTTCCTCCAAACCTCTCTCTCGTGATCGTGTGAACACAGGCGGCACTCTTACACGCGAAAGGTTACCGTCGAATAGGATCTCCAGTGAAACCCGCAGGAAACTGCTCGCACGAATCTGTGCAGTAAAAAACCTCTGTGATTCCCTTCGCTGCTCACAGCACTAATCAGCAGCGGGGAGTTAGCACGCGATGAATCACGCACAGCCACTGACTGCAAGGTGTGCACCTGTGCGTGCAGATAGCAACGCTGGAGAGTGGTGCTGAGCCGTGTAATAGCACACGCTACAGCCCCCCCCACGTCAACACATGCCATAGCCCCCCCCCCCGCATCAGCACACGCCACAGCCCCCCCCACGTCAGCACATGCCATAGCCCCCCCCTCGCATCAGCACACGCCACAGCCCCCCCCCCACCCCGCATCAGCACACGCCACAGAACACCCCCGCCCCCCAGTATCGGCACACGCCATTAGCCATCCCCCCGGGTCAGCACAAGCCACAGCCTCCCCCCCACCATCGTCAGCACGTGCCACAGCCCCCCCCCCCCCACTCCCCGCATCAGCACACGCGAGTCCCCCCCGCATCAGCACACGCCACAGCCCCCCCGTGTAAGCACATGCCGCAGCCCCCCCCTCCACTAAGTGAGTACACGCTACAGCCGTCCCCCCACCCCCGAGTTAGCACATGCCACAGCCCCCCCTGCATTAGCACACGCAACACCCCCCCCGCGTCAGCACACACAACACACACACCCCCCACCGCAAATCTACAGACTACGGCAAAGTACAGAACTTTGCAACTGAACTGAGCGAAATGTTATTGTAATAATATTGCAGATTAATGATACACCCACCAACTTGTGACTGGAAAGTTTGGATAACACTGGAGGCAACCGTCAATATTGAGGTGGAGGGGATTGCCTTCTTAATATCTCAATTCCTTACGCATCAGGAATTATATTAATAATAAAATTAATTATAGCTCCACAGCCTGTATAAAGAACCATGTGGGCTCTACGCTCATTAATCCCCACCCCCCCCCCCCACCCCGACAAACACTCCATCAAACAATCAGTCCAAAGATTAAACCTGCCATTTAAATTTTTTTTTAGAAAAGTTCCAAAATCATATCAAATCCCTCTTTCCGCTCGGCTCCAGTTTTTGAGATTCCTAAAAGGATTTTGCAAAGAGTTGTCTCCGCCTCGTTTGTCTTAAGTTTGTTTTCAAATGTATTTAAAATTAAAAAATGTTTAAAGGCGGGTCCAATAATTTTCTCCCCATTGGCGAACACCTTCCATTACCCCACTGACAGCGCCCCCCTCTCCCTAGGGTGCTGTTTAGCAGATGCTGATTAATCTGAGGTGCTCCCTCCCCACTGGCCTGCGTCACTTGTCTGTAGAGGGTGTCACAGTCTAGCCTTACCTTTCCCCACCCGACTGCCATTCAACCACCACCCCCCCACCACACACACGCGCGACCAGCTGATTTCCGCCACCTTAACCCAGGAATGCCAATATAATGCCCCAAACCGTTCTCTGATCCTGTGATCTTCAGGTGCGTTAAATCTCACCAACTTTAACCACCCACTCAGGCCATTAGTGGGAGGCTACTATGTTCAGTTTGTTAAGTGCTCACTGATTTGCTGCTCTGCTCCATTTAATGGTACCTTTCCCCTGTCTGCCTGGTTGGAAAAGGACAGAGCTGGGAGCCATTAAACAACAACAACAAATTGGATTCATATAGCGTCTTTCACATTGGGAGGATGTCCCCAGGTGCTGGACAGTGAAGGGTTTGCACCCGAGTTGGGGGTTGGAGTCAAGATGGGGTGGAAGGCATTGGGAGGATAGGGGTGGGAGGATGACCAAAGGCACGATAAAAAAGAAAGGCCCTGTTGGAGGCAAGGGAAAGGGTGAGGCAGTGAGGCTCTGGGATGGAGCCCCAAGATGGTGGCAACAGAAAGGCTAAAGGCCCGACTACCAATGGTGGAGCGGCCTGGGCAGGGGACATGGAGCAGTCCGGTGCCTGCCGAACAGAGGGATTGGTAAAAGTTTTAAAGGATCACAGAGGTAGGGAGGAGCAAGACCATAAGAGGGATTTAAAAGTCCCGAATAGGCACTGTATCAAACGCAAGAATTATTGCCATTTACCACCCAAACTCTCAGACCACCCTCTCTGGAAAAGGGCAACTTGGATTTATATAGCGTCCTTCGTGCGGGAAGGATAGAGATGATGATGATGATGATAATAATAATCCTTGCATTTGATATAGCGCCTTATCTTGTCATTGAGACGTCTCAAAGCGTTTCACAGAACACACTGGAAAGTGAATTGACTGTGTATTTTGTGGGGGAGAGTTTCAGCGTGCATCATTAATAACTTATTGATTAATTACTATGATTATTCCCAAACCACAAAGTGCTAGGTTTTTTTGGAAGGGGGGGGGGGGGAGAGAGAGAGATGTCTGGCAACAGTTGCATAACTTTCCCTTTAGCATATTTTGTCATCAATAAATAATGACGATATCCTCCTGCCAACCTGAACCTTGGGACTGCACTCACCAAACAACTGCATACAGGGCTGGGCTTACTCACTGTGACCTCCTCCCTCCAAAAAAAACCAGTAGGTGATGGGTGTTGGGGGGGGGGGGAGAAGGGATATCACAATGAGAGATTCCTACGCTTCTGAAGAGTTCAGATACTATTGGCAATAATCCTTTAAAAATTAAATAAACAATAATTTGGTCACTCAATCCACGAGCGTTTGTGGGGACGCCGTTGTACGCAATTGGCTGCCGCGTTTCGCCCACAAAATACACAGTCAATTCACTTTACAGTATATCCCTGTGAAGCGCTTTGAGACGTTTCAAGGACGTGATCAGGCGCTGTATCAAATGCAAGGATTACTATTATTATTGCATCCAACCCGACCTATGCTTGATTCACTCCCAACACAGTGGCGGTTGTCGAGTCTTCCTCTGGGATCAGCATCTGATATCTATCTCAGTCACCTCGAGAAGCAATCTATCTCTCTCTCTCTATCTCTCGCTCTCTCGCTCTCTCTCTCTCTCCCTCCACACCACACACCCAATCCATTAAACTGCTTTGATCCAACCAAGCCTGCTTGCCATTCCCACTTTGGTCAGTCACTGCGTTGGGAAATGAACCCTTCTTCATCCGCTTAAAGCAGCTAACGATGTAGCATTGATGTCACAAGAGAGAGAGACAGACAGACAGAGAGAGAGAGACATACACACAGACAGACACACAGAGAGACAGACAGAGAGAGAGAGACACATACACACAGACAGACACAGAGAGAGACAGATACAGACAGAGACACATACACACAGACAGACACAGAGAGAGACAGAGAGATACACATACACACAGACTACAGAGAGAGAGACAGACAGAGAGAGACACATACACACAGACAGAGAGAGAGAGACAGATACAGAGAGAGACACATACACACAGACAGACACAGAGAGAGACAGATACAGAGAGAGACACATACACACAGACAGACACAGAGAGAGACAGATACAGACAGACACATACACACAGACACAGAGAGAGAGACAGATACAGACAGAGAGAAACATACACAGAGTGATAGACAGAGAGACAGACAGAGAGAGTGAGAGACACATACACAGAGTGATAGACAGACAGACAGAGAGACACACATATATACACCCACACACAGACAGACACAGAGAGTGACAGACAGACACAGACAGACAGACAGACAGAGCGAGAGAGAAAAAAACTCACAAACACAGGCGAATAAGCGACTAATAATCTCCTTTCACCTCCTCATTCATATTTCCCATCACTGAGCAATTACTGGGGACTTACAGCTTTTTTTTCCTGAAGGTGGAAGAGACTGGTTTTAAGTCGAGATGAAATTGGCAAACATTCCCTTTCCTCGGTCAACTGGACAAAAAGAGAAAGAGATAAGTGGGAAGGAAGCAAAATAGATGCCTTTTGTTTTATATTACACGTGTGTGGGCTTTAAACCCTCCCCCCAAAAAAATCACTACTGCCTACAATTTAATTTCATTTGATTTCATCTGATTTACCAAAACACACACACACACACACACACACAAAAACACCCACTATCACCACACGAGTCTCTCTCTCTCTCTCTCTCACACACACACACTGAGCAAAACCAAACTGTTGCATGAACAATTTTAACATTTAAAAAAAATGCACAGACACAGAGACACACACACACACACAATCACAACCACATCCACTTTGTTTGTTCATTTGTTTGCCAATTATTTTTCTTTTTCTCGATTTTTATATCTGAATGCACTGGATGGTGTGTGTGTGAGAGAGGGAGAGAGAGAGAGAGATAGAGAGAAAGAATCGATCCTTAATATATACTGTGTGTATATATATATATATATGTCTATATATTTAACACTGGCAAACAGCTGGAAACTCGCACGTTAACAGAAGGAAAAATACACTCAGCACAACAGCAAAGACTGACTCCACACCACAATATACTTTCCTCTTAAAAGGAGCAAAAGAAAAGAATGAGCTGTTTTTTTTGTGGGGGGTGTGGGGTGGGGGTGTGTGGGGGTGGGGGTGGGGGGTGTGGGGTGTGGGGGTGGGGGGTGAGCAGATCAAATGCAAAACCACATCCACATGTTCCAGCAATAATAACATCTGCTTTAGTATAGGCAATGGGTGGATTTTTTTTAAAAATGTTTTTGCACTGAGGTTAAGGGGGTGGTGGGGGTGTGGGGGGTGAATCATCCCCTCCCCTCTCTTTCCCCCTTTTTTTCTCCCCTCTCCTACCTTCCAGAGGCTGCAAATCCTGGTCAAGGGGTTGAGTTGGGAGTTGGGAGTGTTAGTCCAGTCTCACCGAGAGCCGCAGTGCTGAGCATCAAAGGAAACACACACAGAGAGAGAGAGAGAGAGACAAAAAAATATAACACAATCACATTGCAACCACTGCTGCTCGTTTGAGCAGAGATTTAAATGCCTCTCTCTCTCTCTCTCTCTCCTCTCTCTCTCTCTCTCTGAACCCAGAGGGGGTGGGAAAAAAAAAGGCAGTGAAAAGTGGGCAAATCGAGGCAAAAAAGTGAGTGGGTTTTGCATACAACCTTTTTACGATTCCTTGCGAGCCTTTTCCTCTACATCCCAGATCGCTCTGGAAGTACATGCAAATGCATTTCATGGATTTTTTTTCTCTCTCTCTCTCTCTCTCTCTGGGGCAAAGCTGCACACAAAAACCGAAATGGATTCTATCCCTTCTCTCTCTCTCTCTTTCTCTCTCTTTCACTCATTTTCTCTCTCTCTCACACTCACACACTCTCACACACTCACTCACTCTCACTCACTCACTCACTCACTCACACAGATCTCTCTCTCTCTCTCTCTCTCCCACAGTTCAGATGAAACCAAACCAGAAGACGATTCATTCTGATTTTCATCATCATCATCATCATCATCATCATCTTCTTCTTCTGACATCATATCAACTCATTTGGCATTTTATTATCTATTTTTTTGTAGAAATAATTCTTGGTTTGAAAATAAATTGCAAACTTTGCATTGTATGCACACAAAGTACTTCCCCCCCTCCTCACAACCCCACTTTCCCCCCCAAAAGCAAAATCTCTCCTATTTTCTTTTTGCCCCCCCCCCCCCAAAAAAAAACCCCAAGAGAATAAAGAGGACGATTTGTTTAATTCAACTTAAATTCGGTTTCTGTCTGTTTCAGGGTTTTTTTTTCTCTCTCCACTACTTGGTTTATTATTGTTGAGTTTCCCCCAAAACGCATATAACACACACACAAAAAGAAAAAGTTGCCCAAATGTATTCGAGTTTTGCTCATTTGGAAATTGTGTGAAGAAGGAACTTTCTGAGTGTGTTTGAGAGAGAGAGAGAGAGAGAGAGAAAGAGGAGAGAGTGAAAGAGGAGAGAGGTGTTTGGGGGGAGAGAGAGGGGATAGAAGGTGTTTGGGGTGAGAAAAAGAGGGGGAGAGAGAGAGAAAGAGGAGAGAGTGAAAGGGGAGAGAGGTGTTTGGGGGGAAAGAGAGGGGATAGAAGGTGTTTGGGGTGAGAAAAAGGGGGAGAGAGAGAGGAAGTAGGAAGAGGTGTTTGGGGTGAGAGGGAAGGACAGAAGGTGTTTTGGGTGAGAAAAAGAGGGGGAGAGAGAGAAAGAGGAGAGAGTGAAAGAGGAGAAAGGTGTTTGGGGGGAGAGAGGGGATAGAAGGTGTTTTGGGTGAGAAAAAGAGGGGGAGAGAGAGAAAGAGGAGAGAGTGAAAGGGGAGAGAGGTGTTTGGGGGGAGAGAGAGGGGATAGAAGGTGTTTTGGGTGAGAAAAAAGGGGGAGAGAGGAAGAGAGAGGAGAGAGGTGTTTGGGGGAAGAGAGAGAGAGAGAGGAACATACAGTGAATTAAAAAATCCTCTCTTGTTTTGCTCATACTGGAAAGGTGTGAAGAAGGAACTTTCTATTTGGTGAGTGGGTTTGGGGGAGAGAGAGAGAGAGAGAGGTGGGGAGAGAATTAAAAAAACAGGCAGTGAATTAAATGGGAGAGAAAAAGAGAGAGAGAGAAAGATGTAGAGTGAATTAAATTAAATTGGAGAGAGAGAGAGAGAAACACACAGAGAGGGAATTAAAATGTGAGTGAGTGTGTGATCCTGTGTTTGGGGAAAGGAGAGAGAGAGAGAGAGAGAGAGGAAGACACAGAGGGAGTTAATTGTGTGTCTGATCCTGTGTGTGTGTGTGTGTGTGTACCCTGTGGGTGGGTGTGTGTGTGTGTGTGTACCCTGTGTGTGTGTGTACCCTGTGTGTGTGTGTGTACCCTGTGTGTGTGTGTGTGTACCCTGTGTGTGTGTGTGTGTGTGTACCATGTGTGTGTGTGTACCCTGTGTGTGTGTGTGTGTGTTTACCCTGTGTGTGTGTGTGTGTGTACCCTGTGTGTGTGTACCCTGTGTGTGTGTGTGTGTGTATGTGTGTACCCTGTGTGTGTGTACCCTGTGTGTGTATGTGTACCCTGTGTGTGTGTGTGTACCCTGTGTGTGTGTGTATGTGTGTATGTACCCTGTGTGTGTATGTGTGTGTGTACCCTGTGTGTGTATGTGTGTATGTACCCTGTGTGTATGTGTGTGTGTGTATGTGTGTGTGTGTATGTGTGTGTGTATGTGTGTGTATGTGTGTGTGTACCCTGTGTGTGTGTGTGTGTGTGTGTATGTGTGTGTGTACCCTGTGTGTGTGTGTGTGTGTGTGTGTGTGTGTGTATGTGTGTGTGTACCCTGTGTATGTGTGTGTACCCTGTGTATGTGTGTGTACCCTGTGTGTATGTGTGTGTATGTGTGTATGTGTGTGTGTGGGTTAAAAACCAGACCATCTTTTCCATTTCCCTCCTGTGTGTGTGTATGTGTGTGTGTGTGTGTGAGTGTGTGAGTGGCGTTGTGCCAAGTGAAGTGTGTGCATTCAACACCGCGACGGCGGCAGAGATTTTCCTTAATTTTCTCCTCTCCCCTCTCCCCCTCTCCCTCTCCCCCTCTCTCCCCCACCCCCCCTCCCCCCCCCTCCCCCCCCCCCCCCCCCCCCCCCCCCCCCCCCCTCTCGCCAGAGACTCACTGACATTGGTTGGAAAGTAGAACAGTTCGTCAGGGACACAATCAATGAACATCGATCGTGCAACAGCCTGAGATCCCCACACACACCACACACCATACACAGCAAACACACACAGCCTGAGATCCCCACACACACCACACACCATACACACAGCAAACACACCCCACACACACACACAGCCTGAGATCCCCACACACACCATACACCCCATACACACACACACCCCCCACACACACACCATACACAGCACACACACACACAGCCTGAGATCCACACACACACACACACACACACCATACACACACACCCCACACACACACACACACACCATACACACCCCACACACCACACACACCACACACCATACACACAGCAAACACACCCCACACACACCACACAACAGCCTGAGATCCCCACACACACCATACACCATACACACAGCAAACACACCCCACACACACACACACCACACACACACACCCCATACACACCCCACACCATACACACAGCAAACACACCCCACACACACCCCATACACACCCCACACACCATACACACCCCACACACCATACCCACACACCACACACACCCCACACACACAGCACACACACAGCAAACACACCATACACACCCCACACACACCCCACACACCACACACACCCACACACACACACACACCCCATACAGCAAACACCACACACACCATACACACCCCACACACACCCCACACACCACACACACCCCACACACACACACACACCCCATACAGCAAACACCACACACACCATACACACCCCACACACACACAGCCTGAGATCCACACACACACACACACACACACCATACACACACACCCCACACACACACACACACCATACACACCCCACACACCACACACACCACACACACACACACACCATACACACAGCAAACACACCCCACACACACCACACAACAGCCTGAGATCCCCACACACACCATACACCATACACACAGCAAACACACCCCACACACACACACACCACACACACACACCCCATACACACCCCACACCATACACACACCATACACACCCCACACACACACCATACACACCCACACACACCATACACACCCACACACCATACACACCCCCATACACACCCACACACACCATACACACACCCATACACACCCACACACCATACACACCCACACACACACCATACACACACCCCATACACACCCCACACACCATACACACACAGCCTGAGCTCCACACACACACACACAGCACACACCATACACACCCCACACACACACACAGCCTGAGATCCACACACACACACACAGCACACACCATACACACACACCCCACACACACCCCACACACCATACACACCCCACACACACACAGCCTGAGATCCACACACACACCATACACACACACACCATACACCATACACCCCATACACACCCCACACACACACACAGCCTGAGCTCCACACACACACCATACACACACACAGCAAACACACCCCACACACACACACACCATACACACACACACAGCCTGAGCTCCACACACACACACACCATACACACCATACACACCCCCCACACACACAGCCTGAGCTCCACACACACACCATACACCATACACCCCATACACACAGCAAACACCACACACACCATACACACACACACCATACACACACAGCCTGAGCTCCACGCACACACACAGCACACACCACACACACACAGCACACCCCACACACACAGCCTGAGCTCCACACACCATACACACCCCACACACAGCCTGAGCTCCACACACACACACAGCACACACAGCAAACACCACACACACAGCCTGAGCTCCACACACACACACAGCACACACCATACACACCCCACACACAGCCTGAGCTCCACACACACCATACACACCCCACACACACACACAGCACACACACACACACACCCCACACACACACACACCATACACACCCCCCACACACACACCATACACACCCCACACACACACACAGCACACACCACACACACCCCACACACACACACACCATACACACCCCCCACACACACACACCATACACACCCCACACACAGCCTGAGATCCACACACACACACACACACACACACACACCATACACACCCCACACACACACACAGCCTGAGCTCCACACACACACCACACACACCCCACACAGCAAACACCACACACACACACACCCCATACACACCCCACACACAGCCTGAGATCCACACACACCATACACACACCCCACACACAGCAAACACCACACACACACACACACCATACACACCATACACCACACACACAGCCTGAGCTCCACACACAGCAAACACCACACACAGCATACACACCATACACACCCCACACACACACACAGCCTGAGCTCCACACACACACACACACACACCATACACACCCCACACACACACACAGCCTGAGCTCCACACACACACACACACACACCATACACACCCCACACACACACACAGCCTGAGCTCCACACACACACACACAGCATACACACACACAGCAAACACACCCCATACACACACCATACACACACCCCACACACACAGCAAACACCACACACAGCCTGAGCTCCACACACACACACACCATACACACCATACACACCCCACACACACACAGCCTGAGCTCCACACACAGCAAACACCACACACCATACACACCCCACACACACAGCCTGAGCTCCACACACACACACAGCATACACACCCCACACACACACACACACAGCCTGAGCTCCACACACACACACAGCATACACATCCCCCCCACACACACACACAGCCTGAGCTCCACACACACACACACACCATACACACCCCATACACCCCACACACACACAGCCTGAGCTCCACACACACACACAGCCTGAGCTCCACACACACCATACACCATACACACCCCACACACACAGCCTGAGCTCCACACACACCATACACCATACACACCCCACACACACAGCCTGAGCTCCACACACACCATACACCATACACACCCCACACACACAGCCTGAGCTCCACACACACACACACACACCATACACACACACAGCAAACACACCCCATACACACACCATACACACACCCCACACACACAGCAAACACCACACACAGCCTGAGCTCCACACACACACCATACACACACACAGCAAACACACCCCATACACACACCCCACACACACAGCAAACACCACACACAGCCTGAGCTCCACACACCACACACAGCACACACACCCCCACACACAGCCTGAGCTCCACACACACACACCACACACACACCCCATACACACAGCCTGAGCTCCACACACAGCAAACACCACACACACCCCATACACACACAGCCTGAGCTCCACACACACACACAGCACACACACACCCCATACACACCCCACACACACACCCCATACACACCCACACACACACCCCATACACACCCCACACACACAGCCTGAGCTCCACACACACACACCACACACACACCCCATACACACACAGCCTGAGCTCCACACACACACACACCACACACACACCCCATACACACACAGCCTGAGCTCCACACACAGCAAACACCACACACACACACCACACACACCCCACACACACAGCCTGAGCTCCACACACACACAGCACACACCCCATACACACTCCATACACCACACACACAGCCTGAGCTCCACACACAGCAAACACACCCCACACACACAGCACACACACACACAGCACACACACAGCCTGAGCTCCACACACACCACACACACCGTACACCACACACACACACAGCCTGAGCTCCACACACAGCAAACACCACACACACCCCATACACACCCCACACACACAGCAAACACACCCCATACACACCCCACACACACAGCAAACACACCCCATACACACCCCACACACACAGCAAACACCACACACACAGCAAACACCACACACAGCAAACACCACACACACACCATACACACCCACACACACACCATACACACCCCATACACACCCCACCCACACAGCAAACACACCCCACACACACAGCCTGAGCTCCACACACCCCATACACCACACACACAGCAAACACACCCCATACACACAGCCTGAGCTCCACACACCCCATACACCATACACACAGCAAACACACCCCATACACACCCCACACACACAGCAAACACACCCCATACACACAGCCTGAGCTCCACACACAGCAAACACCACACACACAGCATACACACACCATACACACTCCATACACACACCACACACACCCCATACACACAGCAAACATACCCCATACACACAGCCTGAGCTCCACACACCCCATACACACTCCATACACACAGCCTGAGCTCCACACACCCCATACACACTCCATACACACAGCCTGAGCTCCACACACCCCATACACACTCCATACACACAGCCTGAGCTCCACACACCCCATACACACTCCATACACACAGCCTGAGCTCCACACACCCCATACACACTCCATACACACAGCAAACACCCCATACACACCCCATACACACAGCAAACACCCCATACACACAGCAAACACAACAGCCTGAGCTCCACACACCCCATACACACTCCATACACACAGCAAACACCCCATACACACAGCAAACACAACAGCCTGAGCTCCACACACCCCATACACCACACGCCATACACACCCCATACACACAGCAAACACACACCATACACCACACACCATACACACAGCAAACACAACAGCCTGAGCTCCACACACACCACACATACCCCATACACACAGCAAACACACACCATACACACAGCAAACACACAGCATACACACACCACACACAGCAAACACACACCACACACAGCAAACACACACCATACACACACCACACACAGCAAACACACACCATACACACACCACACACAGCAAACACACACCACACACAGCAAACACACACCATACACAGCAAACACACACCATACACAGCAAACACACACCATACACAGCAAACACAACAGCCTGAGCTCCACACACCCCATACA